AAACAAATACGAAAGGATCGTTGCCTAAGTCTACTACAGATGCTTATAAACGTATGAGATGTCAAATAGGATACTGTAAAGAAAATAAAACCAACAAAATTTGCTCTAAATGTAAAAAATATGTTTGCGGAAAATGTACAATGGAAACACTTATATGTAAAAAATGCGTTGAACTATGAATTAAAAATTTTTATTTTTTGCTTTTGTAATAGAAATGCTCAACATACTATTTTGTTTAATTATAATAAATTTAATTTATATTTTTATTTCCTTCCTAACATCCATATTTCATACATTCAAGCATGAAACATAAAGTCGGGTCATTTGACCCGCTATGGTAGAAATAGGTATATATTCAGTCTTGGTATGATTAGTGTTAATAGTACCTGTGTATTATTACTAACATAGAGACTCTACTACAAAATTCTAAATTCTGTCCCATTTTAATTTTTAGATATTCGTATCGGTAATTATAGAATTACTGAATATTAAAAATGTGAAGCCAATATATGGGCTCAAGGTATTTTTTGGAAATCCCACGAATCCGATATATCGGTTCTAAGGTACGAAAAGGGTTAACACACCGTATCAATTATTTCAATTCAAGGGGTATTATTAAAAAAAAAAAAAAAATATGTGATCTTACCGGTCCATTCAACAATTCCCGCAACCTCTGCTGTACGTCCTGACCCCTCTTGGGTCTCATCAGCAAATAAATGTTCTTAATACCAGGACAAGATCTGAGTAACTTCTCGACGAGCACCTTGCCCATGAAACCAGTCCCGCCGGTGATGAAGATAGACCTGTCCCTGTAGAAGTCCTTCACGGACGTGGATTGGGTGCCGCTCATTGTGCTCATTTTGACGTTCTTTTATTTTTTTTTTTTTTTGTCGGAACGAAAGGAATCCTTAATTACTTTACTTCTTTTCCCTTTCAAACTGGTGGGGCCTACGGGAAGCTTTAGCGCGCCGCTACCAAGAGACAGCCTCTCTTTCTTTCTATTTTCGGAAGCTTTTCCGTTTTTTCTTCGAGATCAGAGAATAGCCCCCACACACTTCCGGGTTTATTCGGTAAACTCTCCTCTTCGGCTTTTTCTTTGGTCTCGATACGATCTGCCCCTGTTTTTCTTCTCCTTTTTTTTTTTTTTTTAGCTACGTGTATATTTTCTTTTGCTACTCTCTCCCTCTTCTATTCTTTCCTTTAAGCTTCTTCTTCTTCTTCTTTGACTCTCGTTACAGTGTGTGTACAGTGGAAGAGAACTCCCTCAGTGATCGGGAGACAGACTATTAGAAAGACGCAACGAAAACTGCGACACGTTCACGCCGTTCCAGGTATTTCCAAGCGGGCTACGAATGGATTTAATTTCTGCTGGATTCATTTCGTGACTCCTTGCGACCGTTGCGTTTGCTCAGCTGAAAACAAAAGGGACGAAAATTGAAATAGTAAATTTGTTTATGCATTGACATCAAGATTTTAATAAGGTTCAATACTATTTATGTATAATATTATTATTTACACGTTAAAAGCACTAGTATACACAGGATATAAGATTCTATTAAATTTATAATCTTTATATATTACGTAGTGCCTAAAATAGTGAATTTCTTTATGTATTTGTAAGCATTTCCTGGATCACGAGTCGTATGGAAATAAAGATTCTAATAAGCTTTAATATTATTATTAACATACTAAAATCTCTAGATCACTAAAACTCCCTTTCATTTATAATCTTTAGATATTAACGCTTAAATGGTGAATTCGCATAAACTTCCGGAGTCCAATAATAAGCATGACTTAATTTATGACGCCATGGGCTATTACAAAACCAAACCCGGAAACGCGTGAAATAAAATGAAACCGAAGCATTATCGACTAAATCAGGCGAGTACCTGTTCTTCCACGTGTTCAAATAATGTATTAAAGCAAAGTGTGTTATACAATTAAATTATGTAACATCGTTTTCGGTGTTTTGTGTGATCTGAATTTTCATGGAATTTTTACACTACAACTACCGAACCCTTCAAAATAACGGATTGCAGATTTCTTATTTTACGATTACTGAAATTATAATGGTGTTTCTGGTAGACTTCATAGTGATTTTTAATTTCCTGTAGATTTTATGTTATACTATATTATGCTAAATTGTATTGTGGATTATATATATTTCTACAATTTAATTTAGTAGACATTCAATGCTAGTAATTCTAATGTTAAATGAAAGTGAAAACGATTGATACATTTTTTTCAAAATATCACATGGTTTTCGAAAAAATTTTGCTAGTTTAATGCAGACGGGGAAGGGGTTAAGAAGCTCTTCTTGAGGGGTGAATAGTATTTAAAAATCGAAAGTGTACGAAAGCCCTAGAAGGAGCTAAATCCAATAGGCAACATACACGGTATAGTCTTTTGACAACCAGGAACTTATTTCCCAACAGAGAGGCGAATAATAAAAATAATAATTAGGTCGAAGGCCTGCCTTGAAACTCTAAAACGAACATCGAAAACAACGATCGACTACCTTTCACGTGTACCAAAAAAAAAAAAAAAAAAAAAAAAAAAAAAAAAAGGGGATATCGAGGATCTCCTTGACCAGCTAAAATCGCTAAATTGTATGACGGAACGACATCAATCACCTTTACATTGAAAATTCTGACGCTTCATATAAATTTTCAACTGCGCAAAATGTTCGATACAAAATATACATTTCGACTTTATGCCTGTCCTGAAAGACAAGCCTCGAGAACATTTACATTTGCATAAACATCATCTCGGTGTATTAGTCGTCGACTAATTTCTTCTTTTTAAAAACCAGTATTTCTGGTTGAAACTATGATAATGACAACTATGCACAGCAATAATTATTTTTCTAGTCCTCGAAAACTTCATGGAATGCAAGAATCTCTTCAGTGGAAGAATGAATTTTTAACTTCACGACGTTCAAAGTTGTGTTATTTATGAATGGACCAAAAAGTTCCGACAATGTGTTTGAAGAGAAACTTGTCAACAGACGGTTATGATTGGTTCCACGGATTGGTTCTAAACGAGTTGAATATATTGATGGAAAAAATTCTAGTGACAATATACGTTATGGTATACGTTCATATCAAGCACTAAAGAATGTTAAATTGTTTATGCAATTTTTCTTTTTTCTACGCGGACACCTTGAGGACTGGCGACACACAAATTTTACGTTTCGATGTGATGAGTCTTGAAAAAATACTATAACAGTACAGAAGAAAATATGCTTGTAAATATTTATATTTATAGCTTGATGAAACAAAATTATTTTTATTTAATTCACCTAAAGGAAAACGATTATTCGAAACCCTTGTGCACTGTCTGAAAAATTATTTTACTACTCCTTAACACTAAATCTATTTCTATGTCGATGACAAATTATTTCACAAATTTCTCTAATAAGAAGCATAATTAGACTGTTCACAGGCCAATATAATTACCTCCACTTTGAAAATTTTGTTCAAATTTTAGTACCAAATGCTGAACTTTTCACATTTTTGTGAAATTAATCATTTTGACAAATATACGACTCGATTCGAAATCGAAATTCATATTTCGATCAAAATTGACCCGAACGTTGCACAAAGGTTAAAATTGCAATTATCTCACAAATTTCTCTAACAAGAAGCATAATTGACAAAGGCCAGAATAATTAGCTCCATGTAAAATTGTATTCCAATTTTAATACGAAAGCATTGAATTGGTGCTTAACCTTTTCTACTTTTATGAAATTAATCATTTTGACAAACTGACGGCTCGATTCGAAATCGAAATTCATATTTCGATCAAAATTGACCCGAACGTTGCACAAAGGTTAAAATTGCAATTATCTCACAAATTTCTCTAACAAGAAGTATAATTGACAAAGGCCAAAATAATTAGCTCCACATAAAATTATATTCCAATTTTAATACGAAAGTATTGAATTGGTGCTTAACCTTTTATATTTTTAAATCAAACTTGACCCGAATGTTACACAAACGTTAAAACTGCATAAATTCCACCGAAAAGTGTTAACAAAATATGAGCAAAATGTTATTTCGCGGAGACCTCCTGTTACCTGTCACTTCACAGCCCGAATTAAACAGTTACGCGCAACCTTCGTAGATTCTCATGACACGTGCAGCGTTGTGCTTCGAATTGCATTCCGTCGTGCAAGTTCCGAAACAATGAATGAGAAAATTAAAAACTGGATGAAACACTTGTTCAGAAATCGGTGGATACAGTAACGTAGTACGCTGCATAGTTTCGCAACGGGATGGTTTTCTCGTCCGCGCGCGGACACGTTCCGCGGGAAAAGAACGGAGGGAACGGTATCTGCCGGCTTCCTTATCTGACGCGTTGCGTAGTTCCATTCGATAGAAAATTTTCTTAATATAATGTCACGGCGAGTGGGAGCGACGGTCGATTACCGAATGTACGGTGCCGCGTAGGTTTCGCCAATCGCGTGCGGAAAAAACGGAAGCACACGTGACGCATGTTCCCTCGAGACATATCTGTCAAACGACTCCGCCTGGAAGGTGTTTTTTAAATTAATTTTTTTCACGAATAACCAGTTAAGAAAGGTATTTAGAGAATAAATTTTTGATTGGAAAGAAAAAAAAAAAAAGATTGGTTATTGTTAATCGATTTTCATTATTGGGTGGAACAATGTGTAATCGACTTCTGTGTAATTTAATGTTACTTGAGAAATCAAGAATCTATCTGTTGCTTCAATTGTAGTAGTTCTTGTTCTCCAATATCCGCCATTTTGGAAAAGAATATCCAGGGAAAATGTTACGAATTTGTATTATATCACTACATTATTAAATTAGCAATGTTCTGAATTCTATCCAATATAATATTACTTGAAAACTCAATAATCAATCTGTTGCCTTAATTGTAGTACTTTTTGTTCTCCAATATCCGCCATTTTGGAAAAGAATACCCAGGGAAGACGTTACGATTTTTGTCCCGTGTTATTAAATAATTAAATTCTGGCCACTTTTCGTCGCAGCTAAAGGTTCGACAATTCGAATACCCTTATTGTACCTCAATATTTTCCACCAAAAAGGAGCGCAGTCGATTGGCAAGCAAACACAGTCGCCTGTCGCAAGAACACTTTCCTCCGCCATTGCGCCGCTTCTTCGTATTCCACGGCGCGCTTTTCCTCGGCCCCGAAGGTTCCTCGGGCATAATCGGTTAACGTAAGTGCTCCTAATTCGCATAATCGAAGCGACCAATGTCAGAGGAGTGCAATCTCGCCTCGTTTCGAGGATCTCATCAGACGCAACCTCCGCTTCGCCTAACAAGGAACGGGGCTCATTAACATCGAACTCGCATCGATCAGCGTCCCGCGAAGAATACAAATTGTCTACCGGCTAACGTCCGACGATACAATTAATATTTCAACTGTCCCCGTTGCGTTGGATCGACGAATAGCCACGGGAATCGTCGCGATCGCACGATTTTACGTCCAAACGAACCGTTGAAAATCGATCGATTGATTTAACCCTTTCGTTATTCGATCGTTTTTATTATTTATTTACAAATTCGTAATATTACTGAAGAGTAAGCAATTTGTAATTAATGGATCGGTTGGAAAAGATTCTTCTGTAAATGGAAAAGGATTAGTTTAGAAATAATGAAGGTCTGACAGAAAAACTGCTATTAGTAGTTAAAGGAATAATACTTAATACGCTATTAACAAGTTATTCTGTATATAACTGTATAGCTTTGGTGAACACTTTACCCCTCTGTACTCTTATCAGTAGACTGCGGATTTTAATGCAAAATGATACTTTCTAAAATAATTCATAAAGACAAGAGAAAATGTAGTAAATTCTTTCTTCTCTTATGTATATTAGGTTCAGAATAGAATAGAAAACTCGTTGGATCTGATAACAGTTTTGTCCTTTATCATATTGTACAGACTTCTATAAGCTATAAATGCATAAAATCTGCAGTTTACTGATCAGTAATAAATTTAAATATTGAAAATAAGTTATTACAAACTCACCGAGCGTTCAGATATTCATCAGCAGTAATGAATAAGAAACGATCGCATTCCTTCAGTCGGGAATGTAACCTTCTCAATGATCGAAACGATTACATGTATATACCTATTTATTTGTAGGATATTCAAACTCTTACGCATAGGAAACGTTCACCTGTTTACATAACGTGGGCCACTTTTTTGCTTAAAAATACTCGATAAATTGCGTCACGGGTACTATATCAGGCATTTTTTTTTTTTTTTTTTTTTAGTTGCGCGAAAAAAAAATTAGCATACTCGTACACATTTTCGGCATACGGAACGAAACGTGTCTCTCGTGGTGTGTACGATCAATCGTGGCCGTTTATTTCCTATCTGTTTGATTCCCTTGACTCGTTCCCCTGTGTTTTTTCAATTCTT